AAAAAAAAAAAAAAGCAAATCTCACAATAGCTAGAAGCTTTAGAAGCTATTCTGTCACTGCATTTTTCTTACCTTCAATATCCAACAGTGGCTGCTGATTGACATTAAGTTTGTTTATATCACTGTCAAACATTCCTATCAAAGAGGTCTTTAAAACTGCTAACAAAAGCTTCTCTTCTTGTAGTAAAATTTGCCTTTTATCTGGAGTTACATTGATATCAATACATTCTAAGACAAAAAAAAGCCATACATCAATTATATTTTAATTTATCTTTTTTTTTTAATTTTTTAATATTTATTTTTCAGTTTTCAGTGGACACAACATCTTTATTTTATTTTTATGTGGTGCTGAGGATCGAACCCAGGGCCCCGCACATGCCAGTCGAGTGAGTTACCGCTTGAGCCACATCCCCAGCCCTTAATTTATCTTTAGTTATAGTAATTTGTCCATCTACTACTCCATTCACTTATTCTTACCAAAAGTACAACTTACTAAAAACAACATATAGAGGAAGAGGGAAAAATCAGTTGAGTTCAAGACTCCAATTGCATTGAGCCTGGCAATAGGCAGGAAGAAACACAAGGGGTAGGGCCCTATAGCCCTGTGCCTAGGGAGTCCAGTCCTGCTAATAGTTGCATAAGGATGCCAGTGGAATCAGAAAAACCAATGTGGGCTGCTTGAAGAACAATCTTGGTATTGAGGAGTGTAAGGTCAAATGAGCAAGAAAGAATTGCAGTCTGAGGAAGAGGCTGTAAGACAACACCTACATTCTCAAAGCAAATCAATTATTGGTACTCAGAAGCAATTAGACACCCAATCAAGAGAGGTTTTCTGCAAACTGCTGACTAGTCATCTAACTCTGTTGGGGTTACTGAGAATGTTTGTCATAGTCTTTATTTTTCAAGCAATTTAAAAAATAAAATATATACAATTATGCAAATAGTTTGAAAAATCAAACAATGTTACAAAGCTTTCAATTGACCCATTCAATCTTTTGTTCTGTGACCTGCACCACAGCCTGTGCTGGTTACCTGCTTGCCTCACTATAAGGAACATTTCAAACTTTTTCACTTTTGCTTTAGCTTTTCAACATGTTCTGGCACTTACTTTCACATTTTAAAAATGCATATAATGCTGTCTTAAATATTCATTCATCTTACAGGTTTTTGTTTTTTTTTTTTAAAGAGAGAGTGAGAGAGAGGAGAGAGGGGGGAGAGGGGGGGGAGAGAGAGAGAGAGAGAGAGAGAGAGAGAGAGAGAGAGAGAGAGAGAGAGAGAGAGAGAGAATTTTTTTAATATTTATTTTTTAGTTCTTGACGGACACAACATCTTTGTTTGTATGTGGTGCTGAGGATCGAACCCGGGCCGCACGTATGCCAGACAAGTGCGCTACCACTTGAGCCACATCCCCAGCTCCCATCTTACAGGGTTTTAAAAACTTCCTCTGGTGAATATTACCAGTCTCCTTCCCCTTCGGAACACATGAAAGACTGTACTGCTTAGCCCAGTCTGGCTAAGTTAAACAGAATCATGTGACTATTTCTGGACAGTAAAATATAAGAGGAAATAAAGAGAACCACTTCTAAGTTAAGACAGTAAAAAATGTAAAGCTCATGCATGCTCCTCTACTCTGTCCTGTCACCCTCTGCCTATGTTCAGATGGTGTAGTTATAAGTTGGTGGAGCCTCTGACTGAATCTCTGAATGACCAGATGGAGAACATCTGATGACCCAAGTGAGAAATGTGTTAGTGAGACAAAAATTTCTCTTAGATATGCCATTTGATTTGAAGTTGTTACTACTGAATACTTAGTCCAACCTAATTGGTATATAGCTTACTATAAGAAGTCTAGCTACTTATAACCATACTTCTCTTAATTACATTTCAGTTTTTGATTAAGCATATCACTGTTTTCAATTTAATGATTATGTAAAGTCTGCTTCTGGTAAACTACATAGTGCTATGATTAAATCTTTTGTGTTTATTTTGCTAGGTTTAGTAACTGTCTCATTTTAACTTTAATTAGTTCTCTTTGATATTCTATATTATCCTCATCCTTCAACAACCTTCTACAAAATGTTACAATGTTAAAAAGTATTATGGAGGGGCTGGGGTTGTGGCTCAGCAGGAAAGCACTCACTTAGCATGTGTGAGGCCCTGGGTTTGATCCTCAGAACCACATAAAAATAAATAAATAAAATAAAGGTATTGTGTCCAACTAGAACTAAAAAATGTTAAAAAAAAAAAAAAGTAATATGGGGGCTGGGGTTGTGGTTCAGTAGTACAGCACTTGACTAGCACATGTGAGGCACTGGGTTTTGATTCTTAGCACCACATAAGAGTAAATAAAGCAAGGTATTGTGTCCACCTACAACTAAAAAAAAAAGTATTATGGTATCCAGGTTAATATTCATAAATTAGAGCTTTGAATGTAGCTTAGTGATAAAGCACTTGCCCAGTGTGCGCAAGGCCCTGAATTCAATACCTAGTATCAAAAATAAATAAGAAATTATAAAATTAGTTTTTTCAAACAAACAAGAAAAACATGAACAATTTTTCAAATAGACAAAATATATAAGGATTTGAATGGGTAAACTGTAAAAGAAAAAGTACAAATAAACACATAAGAATATATAAGATCACAGGCAATGGTGTACCCCTATAATCCCAAAGATTTCAGAGGCTGAGGCAGGAGAATCGCAAGTTCAAGGCCAGCTGGGCAATTTAGCAAAACCCTATCTCAAAATAAAAAATAAAAAGGTCTGGGGATATGAATAAATGGTAGAGCACCCCTGGGGTCAATCTCCTGCACTGCCAAAAAAAAAAAAAAGAAGAAAAGAAAATGTAATGTATAGAGAAAAATTCCCCTACTGAATTTAGTTTAAAAATTATAATACCTAGTATTGTTGGCAGATGTATAAATTGACACAACATGCCTTGAATTCAACACAGCAAAAAGCCTTAAAATGATCATATTCACTGACCCAGTAATTCCACTTCAAGAAATATATCTTATGGAAACAATGATACAATGATTCTAAAATATAGCATTTGAAATTTCTTAAAACTGAACAACTTGAATATATCAAAAAATAAAAAAAAACTGCTGAGCACAGTGGCACATGCCTGGAATTCCAGGGACTTGAGAGGCTGAGGCAGGAGGAAAACAAATTCAAGACCAGCCTGGGCAACTTAATGAGAACATGTCTCAAAATATACATAAAAAGGGCTAGGGATGTAGCTCTGTGGTAGAGGGCTTCTGAGGTCAATTCCCAGTACCAAAATAATAACTTAAAAAAAATTCAAAATTAAAGTATAAATATGCATTGGAATATAATGTAGCTATTACAATCATGTATCTTATGACATGGACAAGAACATTTTTCACATTTAAGGAAAAAGAGCAATCAATCCTGGTGGCACATGCCTGTAGTCCCAGCTATGTGGGAAGAGCTGAGATAGGAAGATCCCAAGTTTGAAGCCAGCTGGGGTAATTAAGTGAGACACTGTCTCAAAATTTTTAAAAAAGAGTTGGGGATGCAATGCAGTGGTATAGGGCTTGCCTAGCACATGGAAGGCCCTGGGTTCAATCCCTAGGGACAGAATGAATAGTAGGATACAAAATTATTTGCTCACACAAAAGACGAGTGTACGTGCATGGGTGTGTATGTATCTTGAGATAAGCACACATATAATTTTTAAGTGTATAGAAAAACCAGATGGCAATAAACAAGAATTTTTAACAATCAAAGAAAAATACCTAGATGATAAAATTAATTAGTTATTTTCAAAATCAGGGATAACATTTTAGTCTACTTCCTCCCTTTATTGATATTAAAAAGTCAAATTTTCCTAATAACACAATTATGCCTGTGTGTTTCAAGTAGAAAGCAGGAAGGTCTATAAAACTCAAAATTTTATCACCATAAATTGTTCTCTTTCCAGTCAAATCAGAGCTTTATAAATTTCATTTTCTTCTTTTAGGAATAAGTCTCCCATTTTATTGAAATCTCAGTGAAACGTACCTGAATCAACAGAAATGTTAAGAACAACAAATGGATATTGATGCCGATTATATATATGGTAGACCTCGTTCACAAGTCTGGAAACCTGCATAAAAACAAAAATGAGAAAACAACAATTGTTCCCTTCTCCCACTGTTGTTAACAACATGCTAGTCTAAGTTATCTCCAAAATGGTACATTTTTGTTAAAGCATTATTAAATGAATAAGGTAATACTGGTATGCAAAAACTTGCACATATTTAAAGTATACAGTTTGATAAGACTCTTCCAAGCAATCCTACTCCTCAACCTCCCAAGTTAGCTGGGACTATAAGAACACACAACTGCCTACCTATTAGATAAGTCTTGACGTCCATGCATGCCTATGGAACTATTCCACAATCAAAATCACTCAAAAGTGTTATCATGTCCCTCAAAGAGATATTTTTTAATCACAGACTCCTGAAATTGAATCCTTTCCAATCTGATGATGCTCTTCAAGAAATTTTAATAAAACTCAAGTGCAGTTTAAATATTCAAAAGCACTTTCAAATGTTCTGAAGACACATATATACAGGACATCATGATCAGATTACCTAATGGCATTAGAGATAAACCATGGAAATTGCACTAACTAAAAACAGGCAGAAGCTAGGCGCAGTGGCGCACACCTGTAATCCAGCCTCAGCAACAGCAAGGTGTTGAGCAAGACTCTGACTCTAAATAAATTATAAAATAGGGCTGGGGATGTGGCTCAGTGGCTGAGCGCCCCTGAGTTCAATCCCCAGTACCAAAAAAAAAAAAAAAAAGATAGAAAGTGAACCACAGTAGGTACAAGTAAATTTTAAAGTGTCATTGGAAAAATAACTAAGGTACTATATTGCTAAAGATAGAAAAGTCAAAACTGAACCACTAGGGCTGGGGATGTGGCTCAAGCGGTAGCGCGCTCGCCTGGCATGCGTGCGGCCCGGGTTCGATCCTCAGCACCACATACCAACAAAGATGTTGTGTCCGCCAAGAACTGAAAAATAAATATTAAAATTCTCTCTGTCTCCTCTCTCACTCTCTCTTTGAAAAAAAAAAATTTAAAAAAAAAAATAAAAAATAAAAAAAATAAAAAAAAAAAACTGAACCACTAAAAACCTATGTAACCATATCAAGATGATCAGTTTCAGTGAGGCAGAGGAAAATCTGGGCCCTTATTTTCCTGGAAAATGGCAGAAGGAAGAGAAAATATAGATAGAAACATATGCATGTAGTAAATCTATGCTGAAAAGTCTAGATGACAGAAAATGTTCTGAAACGTTTATTTTCTTCAAAAAGTGATAGCTTTTATGATAACAAACATACGGGTAATTAATATGTGCTTATCTATTTATGCTTGTGTGTATACATATATATATGCACATACACAATTGAAACAACTGCATAGTAGACTTTCTTAAATGTTTAAAATAATTTTAAAGCCAAATTTCTGAGTTGGTCCCAAGTTCCATGTAAATAACCTATATCATGAAATAATAAATACAAAAAACTCAAAGGCATAGAATCAATTAATACATGGGGCTGAGGTTGTAGCTCAGTGGTAGAGTGCTTGCCTTGTACACGTGAGGCATTGGGTTCAATTTTCAGCACCATATAAAAATAAATACATAAAATGAAGGTACTGTGTCCATCTACAACTAAAAAAAAAGAATAAATTAATACAAAAATTTTGTAAATACCTTTGCCGGGTCACAGGGCCGCCGATTGATGAAGAAAAATTGTCTGTCAGTTGAGCTCCTGCCAACACCATGTGCACAGCCTGAGATGAAGCCTGAGATACTATCAAGGGTAATATGTAAGGGCAGGTTCCAAAGCTAAGCTAAGTGTTAAAACATTTAGCACAAAGCATGCAGTTAAAATCAAATAACAATGGGACACCTGGTGACCTGCTGATGAGTATTCCTACTTCTATTCCAGTGCATCTCTCCTTTATCCAGAAGAATCACAAAAAGAGCCCAGAAATTCTGAAATGCCCTAAACTTCTACAGACTAAAGTCCATCTCAGGTGATATAGTGGGTGCACTGCTAACCTCCTCAGCTCTCTTTTCACCTTCCCTAGAAAGTCTGGGCCTCCATGTCAGGAGTGGGCCTCACTCCAAACACATTCTCAAGACCTTTGCACTATCCCCACCAGCTTGTCAATGGAGTCTACCCATATGTATTGAGAATCTCTACCCACATTCCCTCTCCTTTTAAAATCTGTTGTCAGCAAACTTATCTCTACTAAGGTGTTGATGGAGTGCTTATTCTATATGAGGTCCACCCAGGGATATCTGCATTTCCATAAGAAAAATCACTTAACATAAGGAAATCAATTTCCAATTTTTCTTCTTTTTTTTTTTTTGCACTTTCAGGCATAAGCCAAAGGCAAGTGGACGAGGAGTAAGAAATACGGACTTTGCCAGGGCCATTCCTACTTATGGAAGTGTACATTTTTCACAAACTAAAAATAAGGATGCTTTACAATATAAATAAGACCAGATTCTCAAAAAGTCAAACATTACAGATAATTTAAATATTATTCCAACTAAAGAGCCTTAACAAAGACTAATTCTACAGGAACCCCTTGAAATGTGCCATTTACCTAGAATACTGTTTGATTTAAGTAATTTTTATATAAATCCCCTTTCTCAGCAGTGAAACTGTCCATGGTTTTAATAAGGGCATAAAAATACTACAAGCTTTAACATCTCTATTTTAAAAAGTTAAAAAAAAAAACAAAAAAAAAACACCCTCAGGAAAAAGTGTGTGGTTGTAGTTTTCCTGGCAACAATCTACTTACTAAAACAAATTATGTAGAGCATCGGAACAGCTCAGACCATATTCTTCACAGACAGAGTCACTAGGGGGCAGCTGAACGAAAGGAATGAGGCTTTGCAACTGAAAGAAACCAAGAGTAACGGTTATTTCCTAATAAAGACAGAATGGACCAAACTTCAGAGAAGATAAAATGTGTTTTCTTTTCCAGTTAAGCTATTCGCATTAAGAACACATAAAAATTCAAAGAATCCCGATAACTGTTTTGCAGTGCTACTAAAAACCTGACTGTTTGGGGCTGGGTTTGTGGCTCAGAGGTAGAGCGCTTGCCTAGCATGCATGCGGCACTGGGTTCGATCCTCAGCACCACATAAAATTAAAAAATAAAAATACAGATATTGTGTCCACCTATTCTAAAAAATAGTTTAAAAAAACATGTTTTAACTACAAAGATGAAACACACTTGAGTTTCTATATTTATAATCACCACACTGACCATATACTCTAAGCTTTTTCAGAGAGAATTAAGGATATAGTATTTCATTTCTGGAATAATAACAAAAATTTTCAGCTCTAAAAAACATTTTTTTACAATACATATCTTAAAAACTCAGTTCTTGGACTTATGCTCTATTAGAAAGATGACAACCCTGTCATAATCTCTATAGCAATAAAATGTTCTTAAGTAACTGGCCACCATTACCTGCTTCTGCCCAAACACAGAGCCAATATTTTCCTTTATGCTGGAGCTTCCACTGGTGCCTACCACAGGCTGTCGCTTTCCTTGTCCAACTTGATTGGTGCAACTTATACGGACACCTGCTGAAATGATGCAGTATGCATGTAAGACCTGGACCATTTTGGCATACTCCTGTGTAAAAAAACACAAACACAAGACTAAACATTATGTTTACCTTACAAGAATAACATGGCCCAAGTTACAACATCCAATTCAACTGTGTCCTGTAAAAGGAAGCTCAGGCTTCAGCTCCTCTGTACTGTCCTCTTACTTACGGACACACGTTCGATTTGACCTTGTAATCCCTCCCCTAGAAATTTATCCTGTTTTGTTATTGTTGCTTTATCTTATCCTTAACCAGGTATGGGAGCACACACCTGTAATCCCAGAGATTTAGGAGGCTGAGGCAGAAGGATTCCAAGTTTTAAGACAGCATGGACAACTTAGAGAGACTCTGTCTCAAAAATATTTTTAAAAAGGTCGGAGGATAAATAAAGCTCAATGGTGGAGCACGGTTGGGTTCAAAACCTAGTACCACCGAAAAAACAATTTTAAAAAATTTGTATATATTTTTTTATTTTAAAAAAGGGGGGGTGGGGGCTGGGATGTGGCTCAAGCAGTAGCGCGCTCGCCTGGCATGCGTGCGACCTGGGTTCGATCCTCAGCAGCACCACATACCAACAAAGATGTTGTGTCCGCCGAGAACTAAGAAAAAAATAAATGTTAAAATTGTCTCTCTCTCTCTGTCCCCCTCTCTCACTCTCTCTTTAAAAAAAAAAAAAAAAGGGGGGGGGGTTGATGTGACTCAGTGGTTAAGAGCCCCTGGGTTCAAGGTTAAATCCCTGATACCAAAAAAAATTTTTTTAAAAATTATGGTATATCTGCATTGTGGAGAAATGATAAAAGCATAAGATAGTGTGCTGACCAAAAAATAACAATATGCTGAGTGAAAAATCAGGCACACAACAGTTTATATGAGATACAATTGTTTCAAAAATATCTAAACACATGTATAAAAGCTTCACACACATATGCTTTATAGTCTAAAGAATATAACCAAATTCTAAGGGGTAAGCAGACATAATTTCAACTATTTACCACATATAATTCTCGATTATATAAAGGCTATCCTTTCTGTATTTCTTGTTTTCATTATATTAATGTATCTTGAAAGTTTTTCTAATACTTATATACATATGAAATTAAAGAGCATTTGAAAAAAACATACAGACTGTTAATAATGGTCATCTATCAAATATAAGTTCTATGTTCCTTTATTTTTCTAAGGCACTGATTATTTTTTACCATCAGATGTAAATAAAGTTTTCTCCATTTTTGTAAAATTTAATAAAGTTAAAATTAGCACAAATTACTCTATAAGCAAAGAAAGGTTTTAACTTTATATACTTAAGCAACTTTGTTATTATTAAAAATACATATACAGGGGCTGGAGTTGTAGCTCAGTGGTGGAGCACTTGCCTAGCACATGTGAGGCACTGGGTTTCATCCTCAGCACCACATAAAAATAAGTAAGTAAAATAAAGGTTAAAAAAAAAAAACAAACAGAAATATAGCCAGCACAGTGGTGCACACCTGTGTTGCCAGCTACTCAGGAGACTGAGGGAGGAGGATTCCAAGTTCAAGGTCAGTACCAGCAATTATTGAGACCCAGTCTCAAAATAAAAAATAAAAAGAGCTGGGGATGTAACTCAGTGGTAAAGCATCCTTCCGTTCAATCCCCAGCACCAAAAATATGTGCATGTATATCAAAGAGAAAAGCAACAGGACAGTAAAATGCACAAGATCTCACATCCAATGATAACCTCTCAAACATTCAAATGTCCACTCTTCCAGCCTTTTTGCAACACATATTTAGGTCAGTTGTTTCATTTATTCAAAACTGTACTTATACAAAGACAATTTCATAATCTGCTTTTGAAACACAAAATAGCATTTTGCCATCCATTTGCACTGAAATTCATAAAGGTTGCAACAATTTATTTTTCAGGAAATCAAGAGAAATAATCTTACTTTAAAATGAAGATGGGATCTAGGTATGATTGCACACACCTATAATTCCAGCAACTCGAGAGGCTGAGACAAGAGGATGGCAAGTTTAAAGCCAGCCTCTGCAACTTAGCAAGGCCCTAAGCAACTCAGTGAGACCCTGTCTTTAAATAAAATTCAAAAAAGGGCTGGGGATATGTCTCAGTGGTTAAGTGCTCCTATATTCAATCCTTGGTACCAAAAAAAATGAAGATGGAAGCTGGGGTTACAGCTCAGTGGTATAGGAATTGCTTAGCATATATAAGAGCCTAGGGTCTATACCCAGCCACACACACACACAAACACACACACACAATACAGACAGAATTAAAAATATTATTTTTTAAAAGACCCATTTCTAGAATATCTAATAAACACTAATTATTGATTATTTGCAAAAAGAAGGGTAAATCATCCAAAGTTTAGTTTCTTTTCTTTCTCTTTTTGGCAGTAGAGAGGATTGAACCCAGGTCCTCACACATAGTAGGTAAGACCTCTACCAGTCAGCTATACTTTTAGACCTTTTCATTTTAGTTTGAGACAGGGTCTCATTAAGTTACCCAGACAGGCCTTACACTTATGATCCTCCTGCCTCAGCCTTCTTAGTAGCTAGGAAATCTTTTATTTATTTATTTATTTATTTATTTGACAGAATGCCTTTATTTTGTTTATTTTTATGTGGTGCCAAGGATTGAACCCAGTGCCTCATGCATGCTAGGCAATCGCACTGTCACTGAGCTACAGCCCCAACCCACCTTAGGAAGTCTTTGATAAGGAAAATTAAACAAATTAAACACACACACACACACACACACACACACACACACACAATACAGACAGAATAAAAAAACAATATTCTTTAGAAGATCCATTTCTTAAAAAATTAAGGAATGAGAATCAATTGAAGAGTAAACATCTTGATTAAATCTTTGGGCTGGGGATAGAGCTCAGTTGGTAAAGTGCTTGCCTTGCATGCACAAGGCCCTGAGTTCAATTCCCAGCACCATAAAAAAGAAAAAAAAAAATCTTTTACTCATGTGCATTATACTATTGATACTACTGAAGATTGGAGTTATGAATTTACCACACCTTTTTAATATTCCTTTGAAATTCCTTATGGCGCACAGGTAGCGTATAAAATAATTGCTGCACACAGACTGATGTCCCTCTGGGTCGTGGATAGGGGGTTTTCTGGACAATTTTCCCATTATGATCAAACACCAATCGAGTCCCAACCTTTGCAGATGTGTGGCAGGTAGAAATAGTTACATCACTGTAAGAAAACACCAGGCATGGCTGTATAGTTAGAGATTCACAAAGGTTAAACACAACACTATTTGATCTATTTTCTTTCCTTGATGATCCCTCTGAGATATTCAAGAGAGTTTAAATGGGTAAAGAATTATAAAATCTAAGGTTTGACACCTAAACATACTGAGAGAGTTCTATAAATGCTGTTTTGATAAAAGCGTTGATTTAGTTTTTATAGGCTGAAGTGCAAAAACAACATATGATGTCAAAATTTAGTCACAAATATTTTTCAGTTTTGTTACTACTGTTCTAAAAAAAATTTGGTAAATAATCCAAAAGATATTAAAATTCAAATGTATAAATAATTATAATGTTTTAAAATCTTAGAACAAATAAGAATAGAATCTTGTAGATAGAATAGAATCTTTAGAATTTTAGAATAAATAAGTGTTTTGGTTAAATCTTTTCCTAAAAATTGAAAGTAAATCAAAACCAGTGATCCCTATAATTTATTACCTGTGTTTTCTGTTTGTTTGTTTTTGCTGGAAATTGAACCCAAGGCCCCACCCATGCTAGGCAAGCACTCTACCTCTGAGCTACTTACCCAGCTTCAACATTACTTTAAAATTGAGAAACTACTGCTTTAAAATGGACAACAATGTTTTTTACAATACTATTTGTTTCATTTCATCATTTATTGCTCAAGTTTCAAAAGATTATCATTTAGACTGTCAGATAAAAATTCAGAAGTTAGAGATTGAGACTTTCTGATAGGAAAGAGTAAATAAGGGCTGGGGCTGTAGTTCAGCAGTATAGCACTTTGCTAGCAACCATGAGGTACTGGGTTCCATCAAAAAGAAAAAAAAAAGAAAAGAAAAGAAAGAAAAAGAAAAGTGTAAACAATAATGATTCTAATCATACTTATCAATTTTCAAAAGAATTTGTATAAGGGTCAAGTTAATGGATAAAAATGCTGTATCACCTCAGTGCACAAAGTGAGCTCAGAGCTTCCCCCCGAAAGCCAAAAGTTTCAACCTGAGTGAGGTCAGCGAACTCCTGAATCTTAGAAGTATGATGTTTCAGAGCTGAAAAAAGAGTGTAAGGTAAGATGTCTCAAGGATAAGTAAATATACACAATGACTACCAAAGTAACTGGTTTTAAAAAGATGTGTTTCCTAAGACAGTGTTATTCAAAATTCTGAGACATTTGGCCCAATTATATCATATATTCAACTTACCTAAGCCTTCAAAATTTTCTTCTTCTACCCCACATCCATTGTCTGAAACTTCAATGAGATCCACTCCATAGTCTTTAAGCCTTAGATCTAAAATGTTTAAAATATTTACTTCTCAAGATTGATCCATGCTGAAAAGCTTTTATGTATTAATATTTGCAATATATGATACAAATTTAAGTTATAATAATAAATTTAAACATACTACTGTCATTTTGTATATTTTATTTTTTTTAAGTCCTTTTGGGCTTTTTACTGACCAAGATTTTAAAATTTTTTTTCTCTCAAAAGGAATAATTTTAACATAAGTCATTAAAGAGAACAGGCTCTGAATCAAGACTTCCTAAGTCATATTTTACTAGCTTTATAATCTAAAAAAAGGTAAGTTCCTTATGCCTTAATTCCTCACCAATATAATGGAGATAATAACATCTAACTCACAGTTATTCTGTATATTAAATGAAATATGCCATGTATAATTCTTAGCACAATGCCAGCCTGGCATGTAGTAAGAACACAGTAAAACTTAACCATTATTATTATTCTTACCTCACAGTGCTAGTACAATAAATGGTAACTTTAACATTAAAATAGTAATTCATTGGTATGTTAACACTTCATGGTTTTATTACAGTAACAAATGGTTCTTCAATGAAATTATATAAACTGATTATTTCTTGAGGCTTAACACTTTCCTAAACTTACCAATATTAGTAGCACCAGCATCCACACTATTTTCTACCAATTCTTTCACAGCAGTGCTGAGATTCAGTACTACCTGCCCAGAACAAATCTGATGAACTGACTTCCGGTCAATAGGTTTGATGGCTTTAGCAAGTTCCTTACTAAAGAAAACAGTTATAAGAAACAAAACAAGTATTCAAACAAATCAAGTAATGCATTTTCACTCTGATATTAACTGTGGGAAATGACTGATCAGTTATTTAGTGGACCTAACCCATTCATTTATTATATGAACATATTCATTTATTATATTCACAAACACGAATGCTCTAACATCCTTAAACATCTGCCAAAAATACTTCTGAATAGATGCTTCACATTCAATAGAGAATTAAATTGAATTATACATGAAACTACATGTAGGAAACATGTATTCCTCAAGCTACAGGTCAATAATCTTTTACAAAGAGATCTTTCTTGAAAAGCAAAAGCAATATTGCCCATACAATTTGAAAAACTAAAAGAATGGTGGGAACAATGTTTATGCCAAAACCATCTCAGAAACTGGAGTGCCAGTTGTCTTACTATTCCCATAGCTGCCTTCGAAACTCCCATCCAAATCCAAGCTGCCAGCTATGCCTTGGCAAAGATCCTCAAAGTCCTTCCTGTATTTGCTTTCAGAGTTTTACAACTATTTGGTCTCTAATCCATTCTCCATACTACCACCCATTATTTTTGAAGTCACAAATCTGGTCAGATAATTTTTAAAAATTTACTAATGTTTTACTGCCTATTATATGAAATTTAAAATTAACCATGACTGGATCCCAATCTACCTTATTTTCTCATTCTCTTTCATCCTTCTCCCTCCATCAAGTCCCTACATTTTAGTCACAGTAAACAAGGAGTTCCTGTAATGGACAACCTCTTTTAGACCTTTTGCTCTGTTTGGAGTCTTCTGTCTAAAGTGCCTCACCCCCTTCCAGGCCAACTCTTTCTCATCCACCAAAAAAAAAAAAAAAGTATCTTCATTAATATGTAGACATTTTCAACAAATGATTCAACTCATCGGTTGGATAAAATAGAACACAGGAGCCTCCCAGGAAAAAAATCTTTGTATTTTCCACAGCATCTGAAACATACCTAACAGACCTTCAACAAATACTGAAACAAAATAAATAATCCAATTAACTCCCCTTTCTACCTTGCAAAGAATCTCACTTAACTTTACAATGTGCAACTGCAGATGACCTCGCAGAAAATGGAAAGTTATCTCTAAAAAATCAGTTAATTTGGCAATACATCATAGGCTGAAGGTCCATTTCAGGTACTCAATTTGAGGTGGGGGTCGGGTGAGGCACAACATTTAAATACAAACTGCGAATGTGCGTTGACATTGAATGCAACTGTGCTGACATCAGACTCGCTACAGGTAATTCGGTGTAACTTGCCAACCAGAAATCAAATACTCAAAGAACGGCCATGCAAATTAGCATGCGCTATGAGCTAATCCTAACCCCAATTAGAGTCAGACACACACCAGGTAAAAACGGAAACTAATTCAGTCTAGGTAGGTTTAGGTAGATTGCATGTCCCAGACTCAGGTCCGCCGTCTAGTGACAGCATTTAGGGAGGCCCGCCCAGCGCGAGCCAAATCTATCACACTCAGCGCCGACTCCCCACCCGCAGCCCGGGATCAGGAACTGGCGTCTGGCCTCACAGAAAACCTTCACTGAGAACCCGGCCAGGGCGAACCTCGAACGCCGCTCCGGGCCGTGCTCGCCGCGTGCCTAGGCCACTTCCTATCCTTTGCAGGGGGCTGGGACGCCGTGGGCCTCCACAAAGGTGGCCCCCCAAGAAGACCATGAGTCCCCCTCACCTGGGACCCTCAATTCCTTCCATGGACCCTGAACACGACTCGCTTCCAGGACTGAGAGTTCCCGCTGCTGTTCTGACACAGGCCGAGTTTCCCGGCTGCCCATTGGTGGACTTTGGTGCCAAGTCCCACCCCTTCCGGGAGGGGCAGCGAACGCTTCCCAGAACTCCTTCTCGTGGATTCGTTATATCAAAGGTCGAGTCAATGACGTCCAGAACGCCTGAACCAATTAGAACTCACGGACTGCGTTTTCCCGAACGCCTCAAGCAGGGTCAGAAAGAAGGTAGCCGTAGTTCGTCGTGACCCCAGACGGTTTTTTAGCGTTCGTGTCCGACGCCCGCCACCTTCCTTCCTTTGGTTCCCGCCATGCCGATGTACCAGGTAAAGCCCTATCACGGGGGCGGCGCACCGCTGCGTGTAGAGCTTCCCACCTGCATGTACCGGCTCCCCAACGTGCACTGTAGGACCGGCAGCCCCGCGCCCGAGGCGGGCCACG